AGCAGCATCGGATACGACGACGGTGACACTAGTGTGGGCCATATCCTTGCTCATCAACAACCCCAGATGCTTAGAGAAGGTGAAAGCTGAAGTGGACAACCACATCGGGACAGAAAGGGTCGCGGCCCCCTCCGACCTCAACAACTTACCCTACCTCCACGCGGTCATCAAGGAGACTCTCCGGCTGTACCCGGCCGCCCCACTCCTGCTCCCGCACGAGGCCATCGAGGACTGCACCCTGAACAGGTACAGTGTCTCGAAGGGCACGCGGCTCCTGGTGAACCTCCCGAAGATGCACCGGGACCCGAAGAACTGGGGGGACGCAACCGCGTACAGGCCGGAGAGGTTCCTAGAGGAGCATGCCGACATCGACTTGAAGGGGAATCACTTCGAGCTGCTCCCGTTCGGGAGCGGCCGGAGGATATGCCAGGGGATGTCCCTGGCGCTGCAGGTGGTGGGGCTGGGGCTGGCCATGCTGGTCCAAGGGTTTGAGCTGAAGAGGGTTTCCGACGAGGCGGTGGACATGACGGAGAGTAGCGCCGCCACCAATATGAAGGCTACTCCGCTGGAAGTTCTGGTTTCTCCCCGCCTGCCTTCGCACCTCTATCAGAGCTAAAGAGCTTAGGGTTGGCTCCATTGAAGTTTGAATTGGATTCATTTGCTTTTTTAATTGTACTCAATAATTTTTTAAAAAAATGAGCATGCTTAATTAAGGCAACGTCTCATTAATGAAGAAATATATATAATGCCAAAGTTTGGTTTTTTCTCAATAACTTTCTATGCAAATATTCCGTACTATAAAATAATACTCTCTCCGTTTGTAAAAATCCTTCCCATTTGATTTGGGGGCAAAAATAAGGAAGTGTTAAATTATACTACGTAATTGATTTCTAATTTTGCCCCTAATGTGATAGGTAAAAGTAAGATGTGATGGATATATTATTAGAGAAAAAGTATGATGTGATAGGTAGGGTAGGAAAAAGTAAGGGTAAAAGTGATTTTTTAATAGAAAGGAGTAGTGTTTTGTTGGAAGTGAAAAAAATGAAAGAGGAAGTGTTTTTGAGAACAGAGGGAGTACTACTATAGGTGTACCATAAACTTGAATAGTTTTCGGGTATATATATATACATGGATAGTTTCCGGTGCCTTTGCTAATGAAGGGGCATGGATGGCCTCCCACTAACTTGCTTCCATATGGACTTTTTAGCCACATCATTTTAACTTTTAAAATTGCATAATGGCCCTATCTCTTTATCCGTATTTAATTTAACTCATCTACACATGCTAATGTCATTTAAAAATATTGTTTTTAAATTGAATCAACCATTCCGTTCCAAAAAAAAGTTTTAATTCGATTTTTTAGGATCAAAATTAAAAACTTTGACCATGAAATTTAAAAAACAATATGTTGGATAATAATATAAATTTAAATTATTTGATTTGTCTTTAATTATAATTTTGAAATATCATATTTTTTTTATAAAATTTATTAATTTTATACACACACACACACATGCATGCATATTAATGGTTAAAGTGTCACATAGAAGACCTAATAATTTAAAAAGTGTTATCTCACTAATTGAATAACAAAAATCGGTGTTTGAATAATGGTTTTTTCACTTGGTAGTTTGATCTGAAAAGTCAAAATTCGAAAAGCCAAAGAGAGTATCTTTTGGACTTGGCTGTTAGAAAAACTAATTTTTTAAAATTAGTTTTCTTGAAAGATATTTCAATATTATATGTAAAACGATTAAAATAAAAAATTTAAAATTGAAAAATTGAAAAATCAAAATAAATCTGATGAAAAAATCAAAAGAAAAAAATTATTAAAACTTTATACTCCCTCTATCCGGAAAATTTTCTTCTCATTTGACTTGTCACGATTTCCAATGTTACATTTTGACCATTAATAACTATATTTATACATAGGTATATTTTGTAAAATTTTGATATTTCAAAATTATGATTCATTAGAAATATATTGATATTAAATTTAGAGTAAATTCCATAATTAGTCCTTTATAATAGGGGGGGTTTCCCTATTTAGTCATCTATTATCAAAATACTACCCTAGTGGTCTTTTTTTATGAGTATCTTTTCACAAATAGTCCTTTTTTTTTTATCTTCTATCATGTTGGTGTTAATTTGAAGGCTAAAAGTGTAATTTCACAATGATAATATATCTTTTTTATCATACACAATTCTAAAGGCTGTTCCGTTTGAGTCGTTTGTGAATTATAGTCGTTTTCTACTACAATCATAGTCTACAAATGTGGTCTTTCGTTGGAATCCTAGCCCATAATCATAGTCATTATTTTTGTGTTATCCGCTTAACCAATATCAGAACACGTCACTGGACATAATGTTGATGTCAAATTATACTTTTAGACTTTAAATTAACACCGACATGACAGAAGATCAAAAAAAGGACCATTTGTAGAAAGGCGCCCTTAAAAAAAGGACTGCAGGAGTAATATATGATAACAGAGGACTAAATATGGAAACCTCCCTGTTATAAAGAACCAATTATGGAATTTATTCTTAAATTTATATCATAATATAACATATATTTTCCACAAATTAGAGTCAAAGTTTACAAAATTTGACTAATAAAAATCGAATGTGAAGAACATTTTCGGGCGGAGGGAGTACTCATAATTTTTATATGAATTATATGAAAGTGAAATTTAGTACTTCATATATATATATATATATATATATATATATATATATATATATATATATATATATATAAAATAAATTTTATAACAAAATATGATATTTCAAAATTATACTTAAAGACAAATCAAATATTCTCTCCGTCCCTAAATATTTGCCACATTTGTATTCCCTAAGCAAAATATCAAATTTTTTCAATTCATTTTATTTACATATTGGTATAAAAATAAAAAATAAAATTTACATATCAAAAAACTACATGAAAAAGTTTTTCGAAATAAGAGGTATCAAGAATATTTTATTTTATCAAATAATCAATGAAAACGTAGAAATAAACAAAAGTTCCCGCGACTGCTGAAAAATTAAACGTTGCAAATAATTTGGGACGGATGGAGTAGTTTAAATTTATATTATTATTCAACATATTGTTTTTTAAATTTCATGGCCAAAGTTTTTAATTTCGATCCTAAAAAATCAAATTAAAATCTTTTTTAGAACGGAATGATTGATTCAATTTAAAAACAATATTTTTAAATGACATTAGCATGTGTAGATGAGTTAAATTAAATAAAGATAAAGAGATAGAGCCATTATGCAATTTTAAAAGTTAAAATGATGTGACTAAAAAGTCCACATGGAAGCAATTTAGTGGGAGGACATCGATGCCCCTTCATTAGCAAAAGCACCGGAGAAATTCTCTATATACAAAAGCGATGCAAATCAAAATCAAATTTTAATCCAGCCAAATTCGGAGATATGTCTGATAATACCAAAAGGATGTACCGGAGATTCTGGCCTTATCTCTGACGAGAGTGGCATAGTAGGAGATTTTTTACTGATGAATTCAACTAAGTCGTGAAAAAGAAAGGAGATAAATGATGGGTGAATCTGGCTGGTTAGATTTAGACCTGGTAAAAAATGACCCGAGCTGTTTTTGACCCGAAACCCGACCTGAAAACACTGAGTTTTGAACAAAGGTTTTGATGACCGAACCCGAAGTTGACCGAACCCGAAATGACCCGCTAAAATGGGTCCAACCGAACCCGAACCCGACCTGACCGACCCGCTAATGTAAGAATTTTTTAAAATCATACACTTTACTACTCATTTTTAGTGTATAAATTTATATTTACAGACAAAATTTTAATGATATTGCATAATTATCTTACTTGTTTCCAAAACATAAGCATTTTTTAAATTCCTTATATTAATTTATATATCTAAAAATTACTTCAGAATTTAAAATAAAATAATCTAATAGATTTAATACATTTATTTTGATATTTTAAATTTATTTAATAAAAAATGCTAAGTGTCAATGTTAATTTAAAAACTTAAAAAATCAAAGCCATAACCCGTTGGGTCGACCCGAACCCAATGACACTGGGTCATGAACATACAATTCTCAACCCGAACCCGAAATAACCCAAATTCAAAGTGACCGAACCTGAACCCGACCGATTTGCCAGCTCTAGTTAGATTAATTTAAGGGCCATATCAAATGAGGTCATATTATGACCTTGCTTTTGAGGTCAAAAGATCCCCTTTGATATTCTATTTTGTTTATCTACTAGGAGGACACAAGCCCAAACCGATGTCTTTAGCCAATTTCTTAAATCCTACTTAGTAATTCACTCTTATAATCGTGATAAGCACCATTAACTATTCCCTCTGTACGGGAATCAAAGGTAGTCCAAATGCTATTTTGATTGACTGTTAATTTTGCAAATCCATTAGCAACATAATGTTTCACTCATGAAATGAATAATTTGCACCTTCTAGTTTTTGTGAATCTGTCGCCACTTGCATTTCTGAATTATATCTCAAATTGGTCCTTTATATCATTATTATTCAATACCCTCTTTGAGCCGTTATAGATGCTAACATTTATCATATTCTTTGCCCAAGCCCATTCAAGGTCTTTGAGAATCGCCATGACTTCAACTTCCTCTACGCAGAAACTTGAAAGTAAAGGCAGTCATCCATTTGACCATTTCCCTTAACAAAATCATATTACTCCACCCACACGAAGAGAATTGTTTCAGTTTCTCCTTCTAACTGTGGGTATCAAAATCAAACAAAATGGTTGTTTCCAAGAAGACCCAATTTCATTTTCTCTTCCCACTTATGGGCCAACATTATTTGATAAGGAAGATTCAGAAACAAGTGAAAAGGGCCCAAATAAAATCTATGGTTCATACCAGCCCAAGACCAAACATTCATAACTGGATAACTCCGAGTTTCTTGAAGACTAATGGGCCGTGTTGAAAAACCAGACGAAATTCTAGAAGCGTCCCGTCTCGAACTTTCTAGGGTTCATTATCTTCCTCCCCTGCCAAAACCCATCACTCAACAGTCAACACTATCCACACCCCGATTCTTCATTTCTTGCATTTATCTCAGGTACGTTTCATTCCCTTGCTTCTTGCTGATATGAATTGAAAGAATTCTCTTTGAATTTTGCGTTTATTATCATTCGTCTTTTTCTTTCTCCAATTCAAGGTCCGATAAGAATGGCGTCAATTCAGTTAACCGCCTCCGCCATTTCCGCAAAGGGGTTTGTTTCCTTTGATGGGAATCTTCGCAACACCGGAAAGATCGCATCTTTCGCTCCTTTCTCGAAGAGCTCAAGTAGCTCCTTCCGGTCTCTCGCCGTCAGGGCCGCCACCGCCGTTGCTCCTAAGGTAATCCCTATGAATTCTGGGAAAAGATCTTTTTTTCTCAAGATTGTAAAAGATTCTGTTAAACATTGTTTTGTGTAATTGTGGGTAAATTTTCTTGTAGATGAATGGAGCGTGTTATATATTGTTCTGAGATGATTTTTTTCTTTCCTTTCTGATTTATGGGTATCTGTTTTGAATGATTAATTGATGTGTATGCAGTACACTTCACTCAAGCCACTGGCTGATAGAGTGTTGGTGAAGATAAAGACAGCTGAGGAGAAGACAGTGGGAGGCATACTGCTTCCATCTTCAGCACAATCAAAACCCCAAGGTGGTGAGGTTGTTGCGGTCGGAGAGGGCCGAACAATTGGGAAGACCAAAGTTGACATTAGTTTGCAGGTAATAATTATCGGATATGATGGAATGGAATGAAGCTAATCTTGAAACTTATCGAGTGCTGAAGAAATTTCAACCTTGTGGCTTGTGCAGACTGGAACTAAGGTTGTGTACTCGAAATATGCCGGGACGGAGGTGGAGTTCAATGGAGCTAATCATCTCATTCTGAAAGAGGATGACATTGTTGGCATTCTTGATACTGATGAAATCAGTGACATGATACCTCTCAATGACAGGGTTCTAATAAAGGTTTGTCATTTATTGTACTCGCGCATTACTCTCTTTAATGTAACTGCATAATGAACCCTTCTTGTTCATGTAACAGGTAGAAAGTCATGTTTTAAACACATTTTTTCCGGATAAAAGTGTGCAGTTAGATCAAATGTTTGAAAATGATTTGTTAAATTAATTTTGCATTTAACTTGCTAGTTGAAAGAGAGTCACATACAAGTTAATCCAACAAATAAAATTAAAAAAATATATATACAAAGCTGATTCATGATTTACCATAGTTGAATCTGGTGAAGTTTAAAAAGTTTCACTTATGTTTTTTTTTATTCATATTTTGGGACATATGTTGTATTTCATTATGAGTTGCTGAGCTCTGTTTACTCCACGCAATATCCTGAAAGATTGAAAGTTGCATTGCGTTTTGTTTTAGGTTGCTGAGGCAGAGCAAAAAACTGCAGGAGGATTGCTTCTCACAGAGGCTAGCAAAGAGAAGCCCTCCATTGGAACTGTAAGAAATTCCTTCCTCCCCTCCAAATGCCTGTTGTGAACAAGTTATTTTGCCAATGCGTTTGGTTAAATTGATTTTACCCAACAAGCTTTTGTCACCTAAGGGTGACTAAATTTTGTTGATATTCTTCTTCATAGCCAAATAAGTCGATGGTTATGATTGTTCTTATGGAGCTTTTTGATTAACAGGTTGTAGCTGTTGGTCCTGGACCTCTTGATGAAGAAGGGAAGAGGAAAATCTTATCAGTCAATCCTGGAAACACGGTACTCTACTCCAAGTATGCCGGCAATGAGTTTAAAGCCAGCGACGGTTCTGATTACATTGCGTTAAGGGCATCTGATATCATGGCTGTCCTCTCTTAGTTGCCTGAAATTTTCTTAGTGACTTCTCCTCTGTCTTGGCCTAGATAATGCCAATCTTCATGCTTGAGAGTAAAATGTTATTAGCCATAGTTGGTTGAAGCTCTACTGTGTAAACAAAGATTGATCTTTTAAGCAACTCTCTACTTATATCATGGGAATTCCATTGGTTTTATTGTGTTGTCTTGCAGAGGTTTCAAGTGTTCAAACTTGTCTAAACATGTTTTATTGAGTTGTCTTGAAGCTATCTTTTAAGCTATTGTGGCAAGAACACAACACAAAATTTACTTGTCTAAACATGTCCATGAAAAGTGACACTACTATTATGTGGATAAAGTGGTCTTTTAATATCTAAAAGTTTAGAACAGAACACAATTGATGCATTTGAAAATTTTCACACATGTTCAAAAGTGGTCTAGAGATATTCATTCCTTCCCAGGTTTCAGGACAAGAAAACACTTGTGGAGGGGCACAAACAAAAAACCTAAAAACTGGACAAAACATTATACAAATGCAAATCCCTCTTCTGCTCTGAAAGCAGCTTTACATTTCCCAGCAGAAACAAATCTTCAAATGAAAGTGCTTCAAGATCTTCATGTTGAGTCTTTTTGCTGCTCAATCAAAGTATACATATATATATTTATATTTATGTTTATATTGATATGTATGTCCCAGCTACTCCATTACCAACTTTGGAAAAAAGGGCTTTTAAACATTAAAATGCATATTACCCAGTTAGCCTCTGAATCTTGAAACTTTCACATGTTTTTAAAAGAATGTTTGCAGGTACTAGTAGTTGGGGTGTATAGTAGTTTCATCACCGTCATCATCATCTCCATGCGCTACCGCTATCGGTCCCACTGCAAGCTTGATTTGGACCAGGCCCAAGATCTCCATCCAAACTCATCTGCTGCACTTCTCCAGTAGACAGTATCTTTATGCTTTGTACACAGCTCACAAACTCTCTGAAATCAATAAAATTATTAACCCTTTTATAACTATAACATTGATGGAGCTTTAAAAAAGAGTCACTGTGAACAATGTTTTTCTGGTCTGGGTAAATAATGACCTAAATCATGAAAAGAAAAAAAAAGACTTACTCCCAAGGATCATCACCAACGAGCAATATATCGTTCTCGTGATCTACATAGACAAGCTTCCAATCTGTTCTTTGAGGGTCTTCTAATTGGCCTTCGATCCCAAACATGCGCGCCAGATCCTGCCTTAGTTCATCATACCCCTTGTAACGCGTCACGTCAATTGTTCTCCCTACCGATCCTCGCTTTTGAACCTTTCACAGTTTTCAAATTCCAACACTTTTTACTACCATTCGCTTTTGAAAATCAGATTTTCAGAAACAAATGCACATATCTTTTGAAAAGGCAACAAAAATATGAAGTAATCAGCAGAGGAGAACAAACCTTGGTGTAGGTTCGCATGCGCGGAGTCTGATTGGTCCACAAACTGGCCCCACCATTCAGAACACTAGCCTCATTGTTGATCGCAACATCATTGGAACAGCCAGCTTTGAAAGACATATCGGGTAACCCAAACGACTGAGAATGGACCCCAGCACTTGACAACTCAGTGTCGATATCCCTAGGAGGAGAGTTACCGTAAGTGGCAAACAGGTTTTGCATATCCTTCCCGGAGTCGTAACCCCTCGACAGCAAAGCATCCGGTGGAAGGCTATCGATATTAGCAGTGGAAGAAGGCATGCTATTCCTGGAATGGGATTGGATGTCCCCCCCATCCAAACAGAACCCACCAGGCAAGGAGAAGTTCTGGTGGAGCCCACTGGCGTCCAAGCAGTACGAAGTCGCGGACGACGCCGCGTCCAAGTTGTTGTCAGTCCCTTTGGACACAATGGGCAAGTCGCGTTTCGGCGGAACATCGCACTTTTGAGGTGGCTCGACTATGGAGTCATCATCTAATAGCACAATCTGAGGAGGTGGTTGTTGTTGTTGTTGGTGGTTGTTCCGGTTCATGAAGGTGGATGGAAACACCTGGCAGTTATTCGTGGAGGGCGAGCTTGACCGCAGCCGATTATCTCCATCAGTGAGCCCAGAGTGAGCTTTCTGCGGCGGCGGTGGCTTTTGCGGGCCCTGAGGATGTTGGTTAGCTGGGAATTTCAGAGATTGTAGCGGCGGGAGAGGTTGCGAAAGCTGACGGCTTTGTTGCTGTTGCGGAATAAGTGGGTCCACGTTCGAGTTTGAGCTAACGGGCGACAAGAGCTGCTGCTGCTGCTGTTGTTGTTGGAGTTTGTGTAGCATCTGTAGTTGGAGCTGATCAGTAGTAAGGTTGTTCTGTTGTGTTTGTAGTGGCGGCGGCGGCCTCTGCTTCATTAAGCTCTGCTGTAGCAACTGCTGCAGTGGAGAAGCCTGCTGCAGCTGTTGCTGTTGCGGAAACGGCAATTCTTGAGGTAAGGACGTGTTTGAGAATGCAGTCTTGATAGTGGTTTGCGAGTTTAGCGGCGGCAACTGCACGTTTCCGGTAAGCAATTGTTGCTGTTGCTGCTGCTGAAGCTGAGGCAGATTCTGGTTTTGGATTAAATTCTGGTTTTGGGTTAAGTTCTGGTGTTGCGGCAAGTTAGAGGTAATGACGACGTTATTCAGACCGTTGAAATTCAAATTCTGTTGTTGCTGTTGTTGAAGTTGTTGTGGCGGCTGGTTTAGTTGGTTGGGTTTGTTGAACTGGAGATTCTGTTGGGAGAAAGCGGCGGGCGACTGGAAGTTCATCAACCGGGACTGGTTGTCAATGCCGCCACCGCCACCGAGTACCGAACCATTGGTTTGGTTTAAAAGTCCTGTTTGGTTGATGTTCTGTTGTTGCATGCTCATCCATTGGACTAAGCTCAATCCGGGGAACATGGAGCTCGAAGTGTCTTTTATGCCAAACTCGTCCCCGATCCACGGCATCCCCCCACCACCTCTTCGGAATATATTCTCCATATCACCCTCGTCGCCCAGAAACCCGGGTTGCCTGGGAAACTTAGGTCTAAAAAATGGTGGAGGGCATATGTAGAAAGGGGTGACAACCGGTTCGATATCCCATATCGATACCCGAGCCGGACGGTCCCCGGCGGTCGATTCATCCCATCCCACCTATGAAACGCGACGGGTTTATACAATTAATACACGAAACGAGCTGAACCAAAAGCTCAAACTTGTAGGCCTAGAAAATGTTTTAATCGTACCTGAAGATTGCGCCACTGAGAGTTTTTCCAACGGACGGGATCGAAATCGCTAATACCGGTAATGGTGCCCATGTACCTACGGACCCCGGACTCCTCGGTCTCAAACATCATCCGAAACCGCATCCCTAGCGACACTTGAGTGTACATAGCCTTGTTATACTTGGCAAGAGGGATCACAAATTCAGAGGGACTAGCCCTACAAGTTTTGGTCAACAAAATTCGGTTTTTAGATTGACATTATCAAGAAACCAATTTGAACCAAAAACTCAAGCGTATGGTAACACACCTAGTAAACATCATTATTATTACTATTATTATTACCTGGGATTGTAAAAGATGGTAAAAGGGCTGTTATTAGCGGCAGCATGAGCAGCAGCGGCAAGTATACCGATATGCATGCTGTCGCTGGAAATGACCGATGAAGAAAGGGCGGGTTGTTGCCGGTTCGCGCGCCGTATACCCAACAGAAGCTGAGACTTTTCATCCCTATGTAACACATTTACCAGCTCAGTGAAAAGAGGATAAAATACCTTAATTTTTTTCCTTTGTAGAAGAAATTTACAGTGGTTTTTATTTTTATTTACCTTATGAAAAGGACAGCATCACCAGCACAGAGTCTTTTGGAGGACACAAAAACACTCCATCCAGTAGTCAATAAATGCCTTTTCGGTTGCCCTATTTGTGAGGCATCAAGAAACTATAAGGCTGTGTATTTGGAACACAGACAATGCCAGGAAAAGAAAGTATGAAAGGAATAAACAAATTCCCATTTTCGTGGATTTGGAATTAGTTTTCCACTTTACATGTTTGATAATCCAAGTCTATGGACGCTACCTCGATATATATGTCGAAAAGTCCATGTTTGATCGTGCAAGTCTCTGGACACTATCTCCTGAGCTGGAGGCTGCATCGAGTAATCCTATCCAAACAAACAAAAGAATAACTTGGAGTAAAGAAACCGAACAAGAAACTTGTTTTTAGTGGCTACCACTTCAAAGTTTCGGAATTTTTTAATACCAGAGGTGGGAAAATCTTCTCAGCAGCGCGACGAGGAACAGAAAAACCACCATGAGTGCTTGTATCACTAGCTGTGAGTGTCTTGCAGAAGAACTCAGAAGGTTGTCTGTTTTGCTTTAGGCCCATGTCGGATATAAGCAACGCTTCTTGATCATACTGTACAAAGAATTCGTTGTTAAAATGATTGAGGTGAATGGACATAGTTTCTTGAGATTGGAATGTCATATCGGAGCGTTTTTATCATAGCTGACCTACTTTGTTTACAGGTTGAAGAGTCATTTGAGCATACACTTCATCGGATTCTGTATCAGCCTGCATATAAAACAAGACATACGGAGTATGACTCCAAGAACAAAAATCTTATCGAAAATTTGGCCTTTACCAAATGGGCTCAAAATCACATGAAATTCACTCAATTCTTGGGAGAGTGGAGCAAAATCAAGAATTGGGAGTTCCCCGGAAAGAGGTAATTCCAAACTTAGGGATACAGCAAGATGGAAACAACCTATAGGGGGACACATGCCCCTCTACATATCCTAATTTTGTGGGACTTTGCAACAAGAATTAGGGAATTGAGTGAGAAAAAACCATACATGTAAGGTGACACTGTGGAGCATGCAGATCAACTTGGAGGGAAGGTTGGGATAGTTTGGAATTCCATCGGTCTCCTTTTGCATCGACGCTGCAACCTATGAGAGTTGTTATCAGTATATAAAACAACACGATTCCATAAATATGCTGTTATTTTTCGATAATTTTTTTTTAAAAAAAGTTCTTGTGCAGTTCATTTCTGTTTATATCTTCATCTTCTTGTTCAATCAAATGGATGAAATTGAACATACCTGTTCACTGTGGCCTTGAGGAAAATAAACCACAAGGCTTCCCACAGCTGGCAGCGAAACCAACGGACCGGCACAGGCATGCCACAGCTCTGAATTTATCACCTTCCTCTCTATCACAATTACAAGACAAACAAAAAAAATGAAATCTTTATAAGTTTCAAGAAAATGCAAGCGAAATTGCAAAATTGTGAAACAGAAAAGAGGGAAAAGGGGGAAGTGAAGAAACACCTTCTCCTGGATTTGCAATGTACCCATTTGATGGAACCTTCATTTCTGCAGGAAAAAAAGTATGAAGAAATCCCAAATCTTTGCCGAATCCCAAACCTATCTTCCCCACCAGAATCCAAAAGAATCAAATCAAATGATTCAAATCTCTTTCCGTCTTCAATCAGTTACTTGAAAATGCAAAAGTGAAAGACTTTCTGTACTGCGCTGTGCCTTTACTCCTCAGTAAAGGCCCCTAATTTCAACTGAGCTTAAGTCAATGGGGACTCAACAAACAGGCCTTGTTGTTACCTACAAATTTCTTGATAATGT